GCTGGCACTTCTTTCTTTTCCGAATTCGGCCTGAATTAATCTAGCATTGCTCATCAGTCTGGAACTGATGAACTCACCAAATCTACACATCAGATGGTCCTTTGTGTGTGTAGAACAGAGCCATTGTTCCATTTTTGACACTGACAAACGGGTGATATGATGGCACAGAGGTTAGCTCTGCTGCCTCACAGCGCTGAAGCACTGGGTTCCTGGGGTCAATTCTGGACCTGGGGTGCTATCTGCATGGAGTTTGCATGTTTCCTCCAGATGCTCTAGTTTCCAACCACAGTCCAGTGGGTTGATTGGCCCCTTGTGGGAAAACCCGGTGGGAAAATTGCCCCTTGTGTTAAAGTGACATGTCTGTCTGCCATGTGCTGTACAGGCGTCCCATCCAGGGTGTACCCTGTCGTGCCCCTGTTGCTTGCCAGGATAGGCTCCGGCTCCCCCAAGACCCTAAATTGAATAAAGTAGTTAGCAAATGAAAGGATGGACACTGATAAATGTTGTATTTTGTTCAATACATCAGGCTTGAATTCTCACTCATTTTTTTTTTTAATTGAGAGATGTAACGTCCTCCCTGTTCAAAAGACAAAAAGCAGAATCGAACGTTGGGCTGCGGATCCATTCAATTTTGGCAATTACAATACCGAACCGATCGGTTGTTAAGGCTGTACTCACAAAAATGTGTCCCTGAGGGAGGGTGTCAATTCTAAAGCACGCCGCAGTGGCCAGCTCACAGGGTACCTCACCGTAAGGAGAAGGAACCCACAAATGAGAAGTCTGTTTGGGGAACCTCCAAAAAGAGAGAGTAAGAGAAAATAAGATTTTACCAATCAAAAAAGCCAGGAATTCGATATGTGTTGGATAGATTTCTAATTAAATAAGAATAATATTAGAAAATAGAAAAGACTCTAAATTCAACTCACACCTCTCTCTTTTTCAGCATGGAAAAAACCTATAACTTGTTCCTTTGCAGCCTACGCATGCTGACGCAGCTTCCCACCTGAACTACTTTAATCTAAATGAAATATCTATAAAGTAAGGTTTCAGTCCAGCCATTTTCTAATTTGTTTAACCAGTACAGGCTTGCAGGGAAGACCCAGCAAGCAAAGCAGGAAACACCCTGGACCGAACACCAGTGCATTGCAGGGCAGATGGGTACAA